ATTAATTAAATATAAATTTTTAAAAAGAGCCATACTGGATATATTATAATACCTCATTTCAAATTGTACTACAGAGCCACAGTAACAAAAACAGCATGGTCCTGCACAAAAACAGATACATGTCAATCAGTGGAATAGAAAACTCAGAAATAAATACACATAGTTTATAATCTCCTAATTTTTGACAAAAGGGGAAGAAAACATCCATTGGAGAAAAGACAGCCTCAACAAATCGTTCTGGAGAAACTGGATATCCATATGCAAAGAATGAAACCAGGTAATTATCTCTCACTCTCCACACACACACACACACACAAAAAAAATCTATTCAGGGGCAGGAGAGATGTCTCAGTGGTTAAGAGCACTGATTGCTCTTGCAGAGGACTTGGGTTCGATTCCCAGCACCCACATGGCGGCTACGAACCATCCTTTACTCCAGTTCCAGGGGAATCTGAAGCCCTCTTCTGACCTCTGCAGCATTCACATACATGCAGGTGATACACTCATACACATACAATAAAACTAATAAATAAAGTATTTTTAAAAATCTATTCAAAAGGATCAAAGACCTTCTTATAAGACCTGAAACTTTGAAACTGTTACAGGAAAATAGGGGGAAACACTTCAAGGTACATGTGTCAATCTCATTGACACAAGAGATTGCATAGAATTACAAACTCTTTCACAGCAAAGGTAACAACCATCAAAGAGAGGAGACAGCGTGCAGAATGGGAAAAAATCTTTGTCATCTGACACGCGATTTATATCCAGAATATATGAAGAACTAAAAAAACTAAATACAAAAACCCCACAATCTAATCAACAAATTGGCACATTCTTAAAAGAAACCCAAACGTTCAATAAGTACATGAAAAAAATTTCACATCCTTAGCAATGAAGGAAATGCAAGACAAAACCACATCAAGATTCAATCTTACCCAAGCATAACAAATGCCAGCAAGGATGTGGGGGAAAGGGGAACACTTATACACAGCTGCTGGGATTGTAAATCAGTACAGCTACTATGGAAATAGGTATGGATGTCCTAAACAATAGTGGTGCACACCTTTAATCCCAGCACTTGGGAGGCAGAGGCAGGCGGATCTCTGTGAGTTCAAGGCCAGCCTGGTCCATATAGTGAGTTCCAGGACAGCTGGGGCTACAGGGAGACCCTGTCTCAAAAAGACCAAAAAAAAAAAAAAACTAAAAAAAAACTAAAACTAAAAATCATATAGAACTACTATATGATCTAGCCATATCTCTTCTGGGTATATACCCAAGGAAATCTAAGTCGGCATACAGCAGAGGTCCCTGCACACCGTATCCATTGCTGTAGTATTTATTTTAGCCAAGTTATGGGATCGATCAGCCTAGGTGTCCATCAGCAGATGAATGGATAAAGGAAACGTGGCATGTATACACACTGGAGTTTAATTCAGCCACAAAGAATGAAATGATGTCATTTTCAGGGAAATGGAGGCAACTATAGAGCTTTATGTTTAGCAAAAGATGCAAAACCACATGTTTTCTATCATACGTGGAATACAGATTTTTTAAAAAACAGACAAAAATAGAAGGATGACTATTGATGACTATTTGGGAAGAGGAGGGTGATCAGCAAAATCGGGAGGGGGACATGAGAGGTTAATGAGGTGAAAATTGCAAAGTGCACGATACACATGCATGAAAATGTCATAGTAAAACCCACTATTTTGCACACTGAATCTACACCAATAAAAAGATTAAATGATCTTAAAGAAAAAATCTCAAAACTCGGATATTTACTCATAACTACAGCTGTTCTGTCACCTTTTTGTAGGTGCTGGATCTCAGATATGCCATCTTGAGACTGGAGCATGATATATCTGCTGTCAGAAGCAAGCTGCTTTGGAAACAGCTCCAAACTAGAAAACTTTTTTTTGAAGGGTGGGAGGGGTAGTGTTTTCTGAGGTCAAAGGTCAGCCTCAGGTCATTCTTCAATCATCAGCCACCTTTAAACTTTTATATTTTGAGACAGGGTCTCTCACTGGCCTGGAGCTTGCCACGTAAGCTGGGCTGGCTGGCCACCGAGCCATGAGATCCACCTGTCTTTCCCTCCCTAGTGCTGGGATTGCAGGCACTTGTTTTTTGTTGTTATTGTTTGGCTGAGTTTTTAAAAATATTTTCTTTATTATTTTTATTTTTTTATGTGTATGCGTGTACTGCTTGTATTTATGTGAGTGCACTTGTGTCGTGCAATGCTGCAGAGGTCAGAAAAGGGCTTCGGATTTCCCTGGAACTGGAGTTAAGGATGGTTTGTAGCTGCCATGTGGGTGCTGGGAATTGAACCCGGGTCCTCTGCAAGAACAGTCTGTGCTCTTAACTGCTGAGCCATCTCTCCAGTCCGTGGTTGAGTTTTTTTGAGATAGGGTTTCCCTGTAGCCCCATCTGGTCTGGAACTCACTATGTAGATGAGGCCGACCTCCATCTCACAGTGATCTACCTCCCTCTGTCTCCCAAGTACTGAGATTAAAGGTGTGCGCCAACATGCCTGACTACACCCATTTTTTAAAATGTGGATTCTGAGGACTGAACCCAGGTCTTCCTCCTGCTTGTAAGGTGAGCACTTAACCAACCAAGCCATCTCCAGTCCTTGCTTTTCATGTTAAAGTTATTTTTAATCTCTTAGTTGTTTCAGATGCCTTTGAAAATGTATTGAGATAATTATATTTGGTAAAATCAATAATGTGAAAGAAACATTAAATTTTAATAACTGTATTGGTTAATGTAAGATCCAGCACCAACATGCTAAACTCTCCTGACAGAGCATTGGAATCAAACATTCATGTAATCAAGTTTGTCCTAATGTTGCTAGGACTAAAGGAAAGGCTTGTAACAGCTAACAGGGCTTAATCTACGCCAAGGCACCACTGAATGCTCCCAACAACCTTCGAAGAGCTCGCATCATCATTACGCAGGTGAGAAAACTGAGGGACAGACACATTTACTAACTGCCTAAGTCATACAGCTGGTAAAACACGCTGGTTTTAGAACCCAGGGCCTCTGACTCCAAAGTCTATGCTTTTAACACTACCTTGGAGATGAAGAACAGTAACATTTCATACTGAAGTGAAAATGAAATTCTGTTCCAGAAATCTTGTTCATTCAACCAGTGCAAAGCTTTGTTTGCTAAACTAACTAAACTCCAGTTCTTCAGAGGCCCAGTAATTTCCATTACATAGTAACTAATCTAAGAAGAGCCTACTCAGAAAGGAAACATCCTCAAGTTGGGCAGACACTAAAATCCACATTGTTTGTTTGTTTGTTTGTTTGTTTGTTTGTTTGAGACAGGGTCTTCTGTGTACAAGGCTAGCACCAGATTCGCTAAGTAGTTCTGACTGGCCTTGAACATCCTGGCCTCCACCTCCCAAGTGTTGGGACTGGTTACCTTGTCTCTGAACCTTTCACATCCCACAGGAGATGTTCATACAGGCAGGCCAGGCCCTACTTGTGCAGGCACCGTACCTGACCGTGCAGTTTGGACTCCAGCACCAGGCTCCATAGGTCTGCTATGGTGATGGTGTGGCCCTGCTCCTCCCGCAGCTTCAGTGCCCTGTGATAGCTTGCCAGGCGCTCAGGGGAGAATGCTCTCAGCAGGCTCTTGGCCACATGCTCCCTGGCATGGTTGATGGGTCCCTCGAGGTCCCTCTGTGACCACTCTGGGTCCTGGTACAGGTGGGCCATTGTCCTGGGGACACAAGGGGACAGAGGCTGGGGCCCAGCATGAGCTCTGCATCTTCCTCCTTTCTATCTTCTCCCTCCAGGATATGATGCTCCTGCTGCTCAGGCTCAGCCTATCTGGAAAAGGATCTTATGACTTTCTTCTAGACCTGGCCTGTCTGGCACAAATATGAATTGTATAGGTTTGCTGTGGTTTTGGTTTGGTTAGGTTAGCCTTGCTGGGGATGAATCAAGGGCCTCATACATGCTGGGCAGGTGCTCTGGGACTGAGTTACACCTCCAGCCCATATATAATAAGCCCATAATTTTTTAGTGGCTACATTTAAAAAGCACAAAAAACATGAAAATTAGCTTTAATAGTATATTTTTAAATGTACTATATTAGCATTCAACATGCAATCGATGTTATTGATATAATTTGTATTTTTAAGACAAATCTTCAAATTTTGTTATGTATTTTATATTTATTGCACATTCTAATTTGAATTAGCCATATTTTAGGTCACTAGCCATTGTTAGCTAGGGCCATGACAGTTTGTGAAGCTCCTCCATTTTGCTTGAACCTTGACAATCCTGGAAACTAAAGTAATTTGGTTTCCAGAACTAGTGCAACTTGTTTCTGTAGAATTTTGCCTTTCTACCCTGACCCCCAGAAATGGCAGCCAGGAGAGATGTTTATCCATCACCTGACAGTCTTTCACGCATCACTCCCTAGTTATCCATAGCAACAGCCAACTGTGCACCAAAAAAGGAAACTTTTCAATCTTCCCTTGTAACCTGTGAGAAGGGACTCCCACTCTCCACATGGGCCTGAACACTCTTAAGAGCCCCTACCATGCTGTTGTCTGCTTGTTTGTGGCGTTAATAATTTTTCTAAGAAAAAAAATTATTCTGCCGGGCATGGTGGTGCACACCTGTAGTCCCAGCACTTTGGAGGCAGAGGCAGGCCAATCTCTGTGAGGTCAAGGCCAGACTGGTCTACATAGTAAGTTCCAGGCTACAGGGACAACCTGCCCCCCAAAAACAAAACAAAACAAAACAAATTCTTCTAAGAAGTCTCTTACCCTCAAAAGAATAATCCTCCTCAGTGTCCCCCTTGAACCACAAACCCGAAACCCTGCAGCCATATACAGCTAATGTCTACTATGCTGAACAGCACGAGACTCCACTTCCACCTCAATGGGCCTGTCTTGAAGCCATTTAAGGCTGACTGTGCTTATCAATGGCTAGTGCCTAAACTCTGAATGTACCCCTGTTTTACCCCCCTTAATGTCATGCATCAGTGAGACCCAAAGGAATGAATCTGTAACAGTGAAATGGCCCAATTCATTTTAAGGGAAGGAAGAAAGGTGGCTAGAGGAGGCTGGGGGGTACGCAGTTTATCTTTAGGTATAAAGAGCATTCATTCTCTTTTCTTTTTTCCTTTATTTTTTTAGACAAAATCTCACCTGGAACTCATGGCAGTCCTCCTGCCTCAGCCTTCCAAGTGCTAGGATTACAGGCATGGCTACCAAGCCCAGCTCAGTAAAATAGCATTTCTTGACCTCAATTTCCTCACCAGTACTATATGAACAAGAAAAGAAACTCCCTCAGAAAGTGGTGTGAACATCATCTAAAGCAAAACTGTGATGCCAGCTGGATGGAGGTCCTAGTATGGTGTCAACCCTAGGCCAGTTGCATGCATGGGCTAACCCAGTGCCGACCTAGGAATGTGTGCTCTTATCGCACTTGTTTTGGAGATAAACCAACTGAGACACAGAGAAGTTACTCAAGCCTGTAAGTGGATGCTAAGATCAAACCCAGCCCCTTCCAGATGCTTGGTGTCTAGGAAGGGACCTCCTGCCTGACCAGGATTCTGGCAGGACTTCTGTTTATACCTGCTTCTTCTTTGGAGAAAGCCGCTTGGCCTCCATTAGATCATACCACTTATGCCCACATGGTACCCCCATATAAAGGCCCCCTGTGGCATCTACTGTGCCCCACTCTTGGCCGTGGTCATCTCTGCTGTTCCAGCCTCCATGGTACTTACCACGTTGAGCCTGAGATGCCACTGAAGTAGGTCACACAGTCCAGGAGGCCCAACTTCTGCAGCGCCAATAGGTGACCATAAAGTGAGATCATGGCCCGGGCACCTCCTCCCTCAGCCATTATGCCCACAACAGGGACCTGAACCGCACAGAGATGCAGGCTGTTTAACAAGGATGGGGACAAGCTTCCTTCTGTCTTATTTGGGGGCCCAGCCTGTTTTCTGTCTCCAGCCAGGGGCCTTGTGGACAGGGGATGATGGAGTTACCATGGTTAGAAGGGACAGTTTTCAACCCAGGGAACAGCCCCAATAAAGAAGAACCCCATCCTCCCCAACACTCCCACTCCCTATTCTCTGCTGTCTGGCAGTCTCATGGGCATGGGCCAGCCCAGCTTATCTATTCACACATCCCTGCTATACAGACCTCATCTTCCTTCAAGTCTCTGTCCAGTTGCAGGGCCTGCTTCAGAGCTGCAGCCACCACCTGCTTCCTCTTGCTCAGGAAGGCCTGCTCCTCAGGGCAGAGCCCATAGCCCAGTCGCACAGCCAGCTCCTTAGGACTAGGACAGTGGAGGATCCAGGGGTTGGGGGAAAAACACATGGTTCACTCGTTTAGGTGACCAAGCTCCCAGTGAGATGCCAAAGAAACTTCCTGTTCCAACCCCAAGAACCATCCATTTCACAGCAGTTCCCCTACCCCATGGCCACCCCTCCTTGCTCCACAGATATGAATATCTCTTACCAACAGTCTGCCTTGAGCTGAAGCTTCACTGGGGCCTGGAATCAAAGCAAGATACTCTGTTCAGAATGTCCTAAACACTGAGGGAGACAATGGGTTTCATGGGGGCCTGGGCCACCCCCTTTTTCATTCCCACTGATATTTCTCCTCCAGTTGAGGCCACTTACATTTGTAGCAGGAATATCTATGGTCACGTCCTTTCCTGTGGCTAGGGACCTCAGGGGTACACTGAAATGCCTGATTGAGGTATTCGAGTTCCAGACATTGCCGCTAGAGCTCTGGAGGAAAATATTCAATCAACAAATCATGGGTATCTAGGCTGAAAACAAGACAGCTCCTCCATGATAATACTAAATGAATCACAATAATTACAAAGTAATAATGGCTACTACTTCATGCAAAGACATTGTTCCCACTGGATCACATATATCAGTATTTAAAGAGATATCAGTAAGTGCTGTGAAGAACACAGTAGTGTGATAGGCTGTTGTCATCAAAGGAAGATATGAGACCTGTCTGAGATGGGAGTTCATGGAAGACATCTCTGAAGAGGTGTTGTTTGAGCTAAGCTAAGGAGGAAAAGGAGGAGAAGGAGGAGGAAGAGGGAAGAGAGGTAGAAGAAGGAGAAGGAGAAGAGGTAGAACAAGAACAGCCACCAGAGGAAGACCTGGAAAGCATTTGGCATGTTGGAAAAGGAGGAGACAAGGACGGCTGGAACAAAAATGAGCCCACAGAGGATGGCGGGGCCAGGCTGTGTGGGGCATGTGAGCACAGACATCAGGTTTTAGTCTACAAATCCTCCAATGGAGGAGCCCTCGGATGGTTCAAAGAGTGACACAGAGTAGCAATCCTCAATGAATCCTGTCTTCCAAGAGTGTGTGGCCTAACTGAGACATACTGACAAGGACACAGGAGGCCTGGCTTTGATAGGGGAAAGGTCAGGGAGCCAAAGGCTGAAGCTGGGAGCTGGAGAGATGGCTCAGCTGTTAAGAATACTGGCTGCCAGAGGTGGGTTGTCCCCTATGAGCTGTTGGCCTGAGGGACACTAGAGGTCCCCAGAACAATAAAGGCCATTGCCAATAATGTTGGTTGCACACCAGAAGTGGATGGAAAAACCCTGTTGCTGACGACACTGCATGATGTGAGTGCAGTAGAGGAGAAATCCAGCTTGGACTAAGCTGGTAACTCCCTGCCACTGGATGGGTGGCTTTCATGGTGCCAAAAGGCAACATGCAGATGACTGGGGGAGAATCGTCCCCTATAATTCTCCTCAGTGACAGACCCCGCATATCGCAATACCAACACACCAAATGAGATGTTACTGCTGGTGCAATAGTGGAGTGTCTAGTGTATGTACAACCAGCAAATTTTCGATTGGATATAATGTCCACTCCTAGGGGTAGAACACACATCTGGTACTGTAGACCCAGCCACCCCCCTGTGGCAGGAGAGAATATAGGCCAGTGGGAAGTCACTGCAATTGCTTTGCTACACCCATAGGTTATAGCAGTCACTGTTTAGATGTTTTTGCTTCTTGCTATGTGTGTTTTTATAGTAGATGGAATCCCACTGAAACTGGCCAACAGCCCATGGAAAACAGATGATGTAGAGACCCGAAAGTTCAATGCCTTGCTACAACAGGAGGAAGATCATCCCACATCTACTACCCTCTCTAAGGCTCAGAGACTTTTGCAGAAGAGGTTTCCAGAAAGAATGTAAGAGCCAGAGGAAGGGGTAGAGTATTAACTGGAAATCTCCTCTGACCACTATGCGGGCAAGTTATAGTCACACTTCTTTCCCACACTCATCAAGGAGTCGAGGGGGGAGTCAGTTACTTCTCCCACCCAATCAGTCGACCTTAGCTGCATGTGGGGGGAGGGGCAAAGGATATATAACCTGAGAACACCAAGAGGTACCTCTCTCGCCATTTTGTGCTGCTGTCAGGAGGTCACAGGATCTGTATTTGAGTATGGACTTTTGAGCGCAGCCATAAATGTGGGGATCCCACTCTTCTGTAATTAATTAAATACCAGCTGCTCTTGCAGAGGACCTGAGTTCGATTCCCAGCACCCACATGGCATCTAACAACCATCTGTAACTTCTGTTCCAAGGAATCTAATACCCTCTTCTGACTTCCACAGGCATTGCACAACACAGGTGCACTTACACACATGCAGGCAATACACTCATACAC